ACACCTCGCTTACATATTTTTCTTCTCCACTCAGCCTTAGGAATATAAACGCTGCATCCATGAATCTTGACAAACGCTGCATCCATGAATCTTGACATAGGAACCAGAATTGCGCTGGTCGCGGCTTGTACGGAAGAAAAAAAATTGGAAAGCTGTGCAAAAAAAGAAAAAGAAAATTGCGTCACGGTATTTCATTTTCCTACAATCTCGTAAATCCTAAATGCTGCTGTGTGCTCATTTCATAACACGTTTCTAGAACGTGCGAGTTCTTGAAGCTTGCTTCCATCGGAATGAGAAAAAAAAAAGGCTGTGGAGTTTGATAATAATGCATCCGGTTTCGTATAGGCACTTAGAAGCTAACATATTTGTTAGACAGCGAACTCTTCTATTTTAATATTTATCCTATTACGTCCTTCTGGCGTTGCGTTCGGTGAAGTGTTTTTCATATTCCGTATCTTGTTTAATGAAAACGTCTTTAAGGGTCTAATTTGAGTTACCGAAGGCTAGTTCAAATAAAGAAAGCTGTATTTTCTCCCCACTGTTCCTTCAATTGCTTACACGCCGAGGTGGCGGGATAGTTAGCGAGTTCTACTTGTAAGTGGGTTTGTAAGGAGGTCGCGGATTTTACGGCTACTGTGTCGGACCCAATTAGATGAAGTCCAAATTCGTAAACGTCGGTGAGGTAACCTTTGAGTGTACATAAAGAAACCATTCCTGGTAGAAATCCCTGAGCCTTACACTACGATGTATCCCGTTTCGTATGTGCTGATTTCAGATGTTTTATTTGTAATTTATTTTGATGTTGCAATTTGTCATTTATAATTTCCGAACCAGTTCGCGAACCGGTTCAGCGCCAGAACCGGTTCGCGAACCGGTTCGCGGATCGAATTAATCGAACAGGAACTGAACCGGAACAAAATAAATTTACCTGAACCTGAACCGTAACCGAACCCGTATTTTTTTCGGTTCGACACACTGCTTTTCAGTTCACCGTTCGCCTTCGCGTCGCTTTAATTCGTGACATTTTTGGTGGAGGTGCGGGGTAGAAAACCCGTGCAGCGTACCCCTACAAAAACTCGGTCAGCAAGCCCCATTTCCCGACGGCCTTCCGTTGAAGACACAGAGCATCGTGACAGCCGCCGTCTTCAAGGGCAAGCTCCTGAACTCGGACCCCTGCCGCAGAAACCAAAGAAGACCGCGACGATGACCGCTCTTTCCGTCGTTGTCTTGCCCGTCGCCCCCCGATCGCCGGCACCTTTTCATGGCGAAACCTACGAAGACATCGAGGACTGGATCCTTCACTATGAGCGCGTGGCCCGCCACAACGGATGGAACGCCGAGCAACGCCACCAGAACCTCTACTTCTCGCTGGAAGGCACCGCGAGGCACTGGTTCGAAAACCACGAGGCTTCGCCCACTTCGTGGGATATCTGCGCCACCGAGATGAAGCAAACCTTCTCGAACCAATACCGGCGACAGAATGCGGATGACCTGCTCCAGACCCGGACACAAGCCCCCAACGAAAGCGTGACAAGCTACGTTGAAGACGTGCTACGACTCTGTACACGCGCCGACCCGCAAGCTCAGCGCCACGGAATGACGACAGCTTGGAGACCTCCTCGCCGAGTTCGACGACTGCTTTGCGACGACGTCGAGGGTGCGCCAGACAACAGTTGCGAAACACCGCATCATTGCCGACGAGGACGCGCTCCCTGTGCATCGGCCGCCGTACCGGGTCTCTTCATAGGAACGAGAGGCCATTCATGAACAAGTACAGGAGATGCTCAACGACGACAGCATTCAGCCTTCGAGCAGCCCATGGGCCTCTCCAGTCGTGCTTGTAAAGAAGAAAGACGGAACGCTTCGATTCTGCGTTGACTACCGGCGGCTCAACGCGGTCACCAAGAAAGACGTGTATCCGCTCCCCCGCATCGACGACACGCTGGACCGGTTGCGCCACCCCGATACTTTTCGTCGATGGACCTTAAGAGTGGCTACTGGCAGATCGAAGTCGACGAACGGGACCGAGAAAAGACTGCCTTCGTCACGCCGGACGGACTGTTTTAGTTCAAGGTGATGCCCTTCGGACTGTGCACGGCGCCGGCAACGTTCCAACCTGTCATGGACACCGTCCTGGCAGGCCTCAAGTGGCAGAGCTGTCTCGTTTACCTCGACGACGTCGTGGTATTCTCGACCAACTTCGACGAGCATTTGCGACGCCTTCGGGCCGTTTTAGAGGCAATCAGGACCGCAGGGCCCACCCTCAAGCCGACGAAGTGCCGGTTTGCCTACGGCGAACTGAAGTTCCTGGGCCACGTTGTGAGCAACGAAGGTGTAAGTCCTGACCCTGAGAAGACTCGCGCCGTAGCGGCCTTTCCACCGCCCACCGACAAAACGGCCGTCCGAAGATTCCTTGGACTTTGCGCATACTACCGGCGATTCGTTCAGGATTTCGCCAAGCTTTCTGCGCCGCTAACGCACCTTACGAAAGACGCCGTGAACTTCGAATGGGGTGGAGAACAACAACAGGCATTAGACGAACTAAAGCGACGGCTCCAGTCACCACCGATTCTCGGCCACTTCGACCAATCAGCCAAAACGGAGGTTCACACGGATGCCAGTAATACAGGACTCGGAGCGGTACTGGTCCAACGACAAGACGGTGGGGAGCGCGTGATCGCTTACGCTAGCCGGACGCTGTCGAATGCGGAACGCAATTACTCGACGACCGAGAAGGAATGTCTGGCCGTCGTCTGGGCCATCACGAAATTCCACCCATACTTGTACGGGACTCCTTTTCTGGTGGTCACCGACCACCATTCGCTGTGTTGGTTAGCGAGCCTGAAGGACCCATCGGGACGCCTCGCTCGGTGGAGCCTACGACTGCAAGAGTACGACGTGACCGTGGTCTACAAGTCAGGCCGAAAACACAGCGACGCCGACTGCCTGACCAGAGCCCCTGTCGAGTCAGCTACCGGATGTGCCAAAGACGACGACGACGACGACGACGACCACTTTCTTGGCGTGGTGAGCCTTCACGGCATGGCAGCGCTCCAGCGGGACGATCCTGAGTTGCGTGCACTGATCGACCACTTGGAGGGACGAGGGGGTACGATTTCCCGAGCCTTCACGCGTGACCTGCCAAGATTCGCCGTCCGGAGAGGTCTCCTCTATACAGAGAACTTCGGGGACAACAACTCGACGTGGCTCCTGGTCATTCCTGCTAGTCTTCGAGGAGAGATCTTTCAAGCCTGCCACGACGACCCAACATCTGGTCACCTTGGCTACAGTAGGACTCTTGCACGGATCCAAGAAAAATACTACTGGCCCAAGCTCCCGAAGACTGTCCACCTCTACGTCCGTTCGTGCCACGAATGCCAGCGACGCAAGAAACCACCGACGAAGCCGGCAGGTCTCCTTCAACCGATCGCGCCCCCGACTGAACGATTCCAGCAGGTTGGAATGGATCTTCTCGGACCTTTCCCACCGCCGACGCAGGGAAACCGGTGGATAATCGTGGCAACTGATTATCTCACCAGGTACGCCGAGACAAAAGCACTCCCGTCGGGGACCGCCGTGGAAGTAGCCAAGTTCTTCGTGGAGTCTATCGTCCTCCGACACGGCGATCCCCAAGTCCTGATTACGAACCGAGGATCCTCGTTCATGGCGCAACTGACACAAGAGATACTCCGCCTGAGCCACACCGACCACCGCCGGACCATGGCATACCACCCGCAGACCAACGGACTGACGGAGCGACTAAACAAGACCATCGCCGACATGATTTCGATGTACGTGGACGTGGAACACAAGACGTGGGATGAAGTGTTGCCTACGTCACGTTTGCGTACAACAAGGGCGATTCAAGAAACTACCGGCATTACACCATTTCAGCTGGTGCACGGCAGAAAGGTGACGACGATGCTCGACGCCATGCTGCCGCACGACCCGACGGACGACGGCACTGACGACGCCCAGCTGGTCACCCAACGAGCAGAAGAAGTACGCCAGCTAGCCCGTCTTCGAATAAAGGACCAGCAACGTGTGGACGCTGGCCGGTACAACCTTCGCCGCCGCGACGTGGAGTTCCAGCCCGGAGACAGGGTATGGCTGTGGAGGCCCATTCGCCGCCGGGGCCTCAGCGAGAAACTGTTAAAACGCTACTTCGGACTCTACAAGGTCATCCGCTGCCTTGGGGACTTGAACTACGAGGTGTTTTCCGATGGAACTCGCCCATCAGGACGCCGCCAGCCACGACCCGAAGTCGTCCACGTAGTTCGACTCAAGCCGTTCTACGCGCGTTAGGATTGTGACACTGCATGTTTGTTTTGTTTCGCCGTAATTGTTTTAGCCATTTTCGTTTTCCTTTCGTTTTGCATCGGGGCGATGCACTTTTAAAAGGGGGATAATGCCGCCCGCAGAGCCGAGAAGGCAGCGCTTGGTCACGGTCTTCTAGAAGATTCCCGGTCATTCTTGCAGCAGACGTAACTTTCCCTCTGCTTTGTTATTCTCGAAAGTGCCAGTTCATCCTCGCCTCGAGCGCGTGACGCTCGAACCTTCTTTGCCGAACTTTCGAGATAGTGACGCACGGTAGATAAGCAGCTGCCCACGACCTTGTCGAGACAGTCCCAAGTCTCGCTCGCGCTTTCTGTTTCGCCGCCAAGTCGCCGCCTGCTTCTCTGCTCCCTCAACGCTTTTTCGTTAGTTATTTTGTTGGCACAAGTTCGCCCACTAAACCTTTATTTTCAGTTAAATTTTCGCTTTCTCGCCGCCTTAATTCGTGACAATATTCCGACAAATCGGAATATACCACGTCCACTCTCGACAGACGCTTGCGCGTTTGTCGAGTTTTCAGTTCAATTTTCGCTTTCTTGCCGCCTTAATTCGTGACAATATTCCGGCAAATCGGAATATACCACGTCCACTCTCGACAGACGCTTGCGCGTTTGTCGAGAGTGAACGTGTTTCTCCGGAGCTCCCGATCCCTCACGCCAGGAGCAATGTCAAACGGAGCGCCGGCGTCGGCGGCGCCGACCGGACAGGATTTAGCGGAATCCTCTGACGACGGCTACAGGATGCAGCTGCCCCAACTCCCACATGGAAAGCGGCTGGAGACGACGGTGTTTCTACACGGTGACCTGCGCGGGAGGCCGTACAGGACCCAGGACTTCGCTGAGGCGCTGGAGGAGACCGTGGGTATGAAGAACGTGGTGGGGCTGGGAACCTTTCAGTACAACCACGTGCTGATTTGCACACTCGACACCGCCGAGGCGAAGGAGCGCCTCGCTGCATTCAGGGAGCTCACCGTGAAGGGAAGAAGGTGCATCATAATCGACCCCAACCAGACGGAGGTGACGCTGCGAGTACATTGGATGCCTACCTTCGTGACTGACAGCGAGGTCGAAGGCGCTCTTGCCTCTCTTGGCAGGTTGAAGCGTTCTACGCGGGAGAAATGGCGTGCACCGAACGGCGCATATGAGGTGCACAGCACAACGAGAAGCGTCACCCTCGTTCTCTGTGAGGGGGTCAACAAGGAAAACCCTCCTCATCGCGTGGTTACCATTTGAGCCCGTTCTCGTTTCGACCTTCTCACTTGGCCCTTCTCAAAACAACCATTCTCAAAAAGATCTCTCTTGGACCTGTCGCATTTGGCCCTTTCCCGTTTCGTCTTTCGCATTCCCCCCGCAGGGGGCACCTGTGAAAGCAAGTGTTTGGAGAGTGGCGTCTCCACGGACCCCGAGTCATGCGGGTTCGCCCGCCCACGTCTGGCTGTGCGTGGCTTTTCCGTGTCCGGGGAAAAAGGCATCCTGGTGGTTGAGTCGAACCCGGGGTAGGTTTTGACCCTTCGGGGCCCCCCGGGTGAGGCAATACACCACTTCGGCCCCCGCTTCCCGTAGACGAATGTCCTGGCTTGGCCCGACCAGGATGATTCAGTCAGTCGCCACTTCTACTATCCCCTCCCTTCTTTTACCTTTGTCTTCTCCTTCTTTTCACTCTTCTCATTTCTCTTCTTTCCTTTTTCATTTCCTTTGGCGGCAAGGGCTAACCTTGGGTGGCGACAGACTCCTCGTCCAAAACCACACTTGGTTATAGTACCTGGGCAGTGCTAATAGTCTAACGGTTCCAGCAAAGCCCTTTTTTATGGTCCGTTAACTATTCCCTTGTTGGGCTCCGTCGTGGGCGGCACACCACAGGTTCTGAACACTTTCCGCCTCTTATGGCTCCCTCTCTCTCTAAACCCGGTTCCAGGCAGGCATCCAAACGGCCCTGTCCGGAACAAGTCATCGCCAAAGCACCAGAAACAGAACACTTTGTTAAGTTTTTTGTAGTTCACTCTGAAGACAATCAACGCCCTGCCGCCAAGCTGTCTCCGTTCATTGTTGCCAAGGTTCTTGAGCATTTGATCGGACACTCCTACCAAGCAAAAAAGTTACATTCTGGGGACCTTCTTGTTGAGGTCACCACTCAAGAGCAAAGTGTGGCCATTCAGAAGATGAACAGCATCGTCGAGACCTCAGTCACGGTAACACCGCACAGGACGTTGAACACTGTGCGTGGTGTCATCTCCGAAGAGGACCTGCTAGATGTAAGTGAGGATGAGATCCTTGAAGGCCTACAAAACTCGGGTGTCATTACAGTAAAGCGGATTATACTTCGCCGCGAGGGTCAGGAGATACCCTCAAAACATCTTATTCCTTCTTTTGAACGGCATTGTCTCCCAGCGACAGTAAAGGCAGGCTATCTGAACTGCCGTGTCCGTCCTTATGTGCCGAACCCCCAAAGGTGTTTCAGGTGCCAAAGGTTCGGGCATGGGTCCAGGAGCTGCCGTGGAAGAGAGATCTGCGCCAAGTGTGGCAGCAACGAACATGTCGCAGACGTCTGTGAAAGCACTGTGTGCTGCTCCAACTGCAAAGGCACCCATGCAGCGTACTCCCGTGCCTGTCCCCTGTGGAAGCAGGAAAAGGAGATACTGAGTTTAAAGGCTAAAGAGAACATTACATACCTTGAGGCCAAGAAACGCTGGTCATTCCTTGCACATGGCTCGTATGCCGACGTGGCGCGCCGGGGGCCTGCGCCGCGTATGGAGTCGAGGGCAACCCAGGTTTTGCTCCAAGACCTGGCTGCCGCCCTCAGGGCCCCAAAGCCTACCCAGGGGCAGCAGGCTCCCTCTCTTCGCGGAGAGGGTTCGCGGGCTGCTCCCACATCCCAAGACAGGCCAGCGCCTACTGCGCCTGTACAGTCTGCACGGTCTCTTACCAGGGAGAAAAAGCGAGGCCCTCGGCCTCACTCCCTGGAGAGACCGCTTGCAACCAAGGAGCTGCATGGCCCTCATGCAGCTTCTGTAACACAGAAGGAGGTGGAGAAGATGAACGGGGTTGAATCCCTCCCCAGTACATCTGCCACCCTCCCGTCAGGTTCTGGTCGTGGCCGCAGGTTAGGATCTCGCAGCTCCGACCCTCCCAAGCCGGCAGGCAAGCCTGCTTGCGGAGCTCAGGAGAGCGGTGCTCCTGCCCTATCCACCTCCCCATCTACCCCTGAGTCTGACCAGGAGGAGATGGAGCGGAAGAATCCGAAAACCAAGCAAAAAACTAAAAAACCTGTGATCCCTCCAAAGGGATGACTTTTTTTCACTGTTCATCCGTGTGCTCTTAATTTCATATCTTAATAATGGTTTCAGTGCTAATGCAGTGGAACTGTCGAGGGCTCCTACGTAACCTGGCGGATGTGGAGTTTTTGCTGGAGGAACACAAGCCACGTGTGCTTTGCTTACAGGAGACTCATTTAAATTCCAGCCATACCAACTTCCTCAGACGGTACCAGGTATTCCGAAAGATCGTCCGTGCTCTGTCAGTTCTTCTGGAGGAGTTGCGGTGGTTCTCCCGAGAGAAGTGCCCTGCGTACAGGTCCCACTGTCTATCTCACTGGAAGCAGTGGCTGTCTTCACAAAGCTCTCACAGTGTGCTCTTTGTATCTACCACCATCCTTTACTTTGAAATCCTCAGATTTTAATTCGTTTTTAGACCAGCTTCCTGAGTCATTCCTTTTGATGGGCGATTTTAATTGTCACTACCCTCTATGGGGGCGTACACGTCATGACATTCGAGGAAAAATTATTGAGTGTGTTATACTCTCGAACACTTCTGTCTTTTTAACACTGGTGAGCCTACCTTTTTTAGCTGTCAACACCTTTCTTCATCATGCATTGATCTCTCTATTGGGACTGCCACACTTTTCCCTAACTTCTCATGGCATGTGCATCCTCACCCATATGGTAGCGACCATTTCCCCATTATTTTAAAGTGCACTGCTCCTTCATCCTCTCTCATGACACGTTCACCACGCTGGGAAGTAGACCAGGCAAACTGGGCCATGTTTGAAAGTTCATCTGAGATTAACCCTGAAACTTTAGTTGGCTTGGATGGAAATGATGCCTGCAAATGCCTTATTGCCTCTACAATTGAGGCAGCTCATAAAGCTATTCCGCAGTCTTCTACACGCCTTCCTGCTAAGCCAAAACCTTGGTGGACTAAGGAGTGCAGTGAGACTCGAAAAAAACAAAAATGTTCATGGGATGTGCTACGCCGGTACCCGACCCCTCCAAATGTTTTAGCCTTCAAACAGGCTTGGGCGAAGGCTCGATATGTCCGTCGTCAATCAAAAAAGATTACATGGAATAAATACACCTCCTCCGTTAATAGTCACACCAGTGTAAAAGTTGTCTGGGAAAAAGTGCACAAGATGAATGGGGATTATCGAGCCTTCTCCATACCGCTTTTTGTACTGCCAGGTGGTGTACTGCCCAGTCTTAAGCAGCAGGCCAATATTCTAGGGGAGCACTTCGCATCTGTATCAGGTTCATCGCATTACTCGGCTGCATTTTTAAAGCATAAAAGTGTTATAGAGAAGAAGAGAATAAATTGCTCTGGAGGACTACGAGAACCCTATAATAGACCTTTTACTTTTCGAGAGTTACAGGCAGCATTAAATAAAAGTAAAAATACGTCCCCGGGACCAGATCGAATTCACTACTGTGTGCTCAAGCATTTGCATTCCAATACCCTGCAGGCGCTTTTAAGCTTTTTTTAACCAGATCTGGAGAGAAGGGGTCTTCCCAGATTCTTGGAAAAGAGCTGAGATTATCCCGCTCCTCAAGCAAGGAAAAGATCCATCATTACCCTCAAGTTACCGGCCCATAGCCCTCACAAGTTCCTTAGGGAAAACCTTTGAACGAATGGTAAACTCAAGATTGGTCCATTTATTAGAGGAAAATAACCTCCTCGACAAGTTTCAGTGCGGTTTCCGTGCTCACAGATCAACGGTGAACCACCTCGTCCGACTTGAGAAAACTATTCGTGAGGCTTTTGTTAATAGACAGCATTGTCTTTCTGTCTTTTTTGATATAGAGAAGGCTTATGACACAACATGGAGGTATGGAATTTTGAACGATCTTGTCTCTTACGGAATTCGTGGCCGAATGCTCTCACTCATCAAAAGCTTTTTGGAAGACAGATACTTTCATGTCAAGCTTGGTACAACCTTCTCTCGTAGTTTTGTCCAAAAGAATGGAGTTCCACAAGGTGGTGTTCTTAGCGTAACACTATTTTTAATAAAAATGAACTTTATTGCAAAGTCTATCCCACAATCACTTTCCTATTCCCTTTACGTGGATGACTTGCAGATCTCTTGCTGTTCGTGTAACATTTCGGTCTGCGAGAGACAACTTCAGCTAGGAGTTAATAGTCTGATGAGGTGGGCTGATGCCAATGGGTTTAGTTTTTCACCAGAGAAGTCAGTATGTGTCAACTTTTCATCACGTAGGGGCATGATCCTAGAGCCTAGTCTGACCTGTTCATTACGAACAGGCAATTCCTGTACGTAATGAACACAAGTTTCTAGGAGTGATATTTGATAAAAAGTTGAATTTCCGTAGTCATGTACTTTACCTGAAACAGAACTGCTCAAGGTCAATGAACCTCCTTTCACACAAGTCTTGGGGTAGCGATCGGGAATGCCTCCTTCGTCTCTATCGCTGCTTGGTTCTTTCAAAATTGGATTATGGATCTGTAGTGTATGGATCCGCACGTCAATCTACCCTTCAGGTGTTGGACCGGATCCACCATCAAGGTCTGAGGCTTTCCACTGGTGCTTTTCGGACGTCCCCTATTCCTAGCCTATATGCTGAGAGTAATGAATATTCACTTGAAAAAGACGGTTTTATTTAGGCTTCCAGTATGCATTAAGAATTCGCTCTGTCCCTTCTCATCCGATCCAGGAAGCAATTCAGGATTCTCGTTATGAAACTACATTCCAGAACAAGCCATCTGTCGTACCCCCTTTTACGCAGAGAATTAAAACATATTCACAGGCTTACAACCTTGACAGTTTCAGCCTAGTTGCCCAACTTCCACTGGCAGTGGCTCCTTGGGAGTGCGTAGCACCCATAATCAATTTTACTCTGATCAAATATAATAAGCGGCAAACTCCTGTTGCTGCCCTGCAGCAGGAGTTTTCCTAGGTTGCTTATACGTACAGTGACTATAGGAGTTTCTTCACAGATGGTACTAAGAGTGATTGTGCTGTTAGTTGTGCTGTTATAAGCGAGACATGGAAGGTTGTTAGGCGTCTTGATGCCAGAGCCTCAATATTTACTGCAAAATTATATGCTTTAATTTTAGCTGTTGAATTCATTATAGAAAACGCTATCCAGGCCAGTGGCGGATCCAAGGGGGGGGGGGGGCGGTGGGGGCGATCGCCCTCCCCCCCCCCCCAAACGCCTCGCCAAGCAACCCCCCCCCCGGGTTCTTTGTCAGCTCGAAGAAAAAAACGTAAGCAATCGACGCGAGGGACAAAAGATTAAAACAGCGGTGGGTGGACGCGCCTGCTGGGCGCTTCCAAAGTGAGGTTTATCTCCGTCAAGGTCACGGTACGTCTTCCCGACAAGGACGGCGCCAGGAGTTTCGAAGTGGAGAGGCGGTGGGGAGGCGCACCAAATATCAGGGTCCTCGACTGCAGGCACACTTCCAAACAAGGCCAGCACGTCGAGCACGGGGGGAAAATACCTTCAACATATCTAGTCCCCTTTTTTCTCTCTCTCTCTCTCTGTCTCCCTCTCTCTCTTTTGAGGTTGTCTGCGAAAAAATTGTGCCCTGAAAGCTCCCAAACGCAGACGCCAAGCAGCCTTTCTCAAGGGTACGATCCTATACACAGCGGATTATCCTTCCTCTCTAGCGGCCGCCTTTTCATCACTTTTCGTTTGATGGTTTCTTCTGGTTCTGGGCTTGTCTTTTGGCATGTATTCTTTGGCTTGCTTTGAGATGCTGTCGCCCACGGGCTCACTAAAGGTATCTTATTGGCACGGTGTGCTCATTACCAAGGGAAGTGCGGAGGGGACGTACCAGGAGGAGACGTTCCAGGGGGGAGGGGGGCGATGCAGCTTGTACAACCAGGTGACCAATTGCTTTTCTTTTCAACTGAGAGAGGAAGCAAATGCTCTGGGTACAGTGTAGTCCGGGTCTGAGCTCCTCCTGAAGACGCTCCGGACTTCCCCACGACCTTGGCTTAAACATAAGGCCGCTTTCGTCCTCGCCTCCATCCCTCACTGAGGATCAGCGCCGCAGCGCGGAATACAGAAAGAAGCCGACGAGCGGCAGAAGGGGGAAATGTTTCCTCTAATGGGCTTCATAGTGCCTGCGGTACGACTTCTCGTGGCGGGAAGCTAATAAAAGAAAGATAAACGGTACGAGCACTCTAAAGGCTGGAGGCTGCTTACACGGGGTCCTCAAGCCGACGGCGTAGGCATTTATTTGTATACAATGCCGTTTCAACTTAGGGTGGCGGGACATATTTTAGGAAAGGCGCCCGCTACCCCTTGCCTCCCCTTGGCGCCATCTCTACTTTTCGAGTTAAACGCGGCTTCTGTGGATTGACGGCAGAGCTTTCGCGCGGCTCTGCAGGAGCGAATATGTGTGTGTCGAACGGAACAGAGGGCGGGGCTTGCTGGTTTGCAACTGCGGCCTCGAATTCCCTACCTAGGGGCTTGGGGAAAACGAGCTCTTTCAAAGATGCGACTAAATTAAATAGCCAGTGCCTGTGCCCGTTCGAGTGAACACCGACTCCCAAACATCCATGCTGCAGTCGTGATCGGTCTTTAGCCCAGTTGAGATTCGCCGACCGGACAACCGCTCTGTCCCATCATATCTCTGCACCTGTCCTCTCGACCCTGACGAATGAGCTAACTACCCAGAAACAAGTAAGTGTTCCTTTCATACAGAAAATATCCAGACGAAGTGCAATTGAATATAATCTGGAAGAATCCATTGCTGGTCTTAAGTCTGGTCTAAGTTTAAAAGTTATAGTTGCCGAACTGCAACATGCTTTCAAAAATCTGCAACAATTATTCGCTTTCGTTCCCTCGAGTTGCATCCAGAACACGTGAAAACACGCGAGCTTGGGTTGGCAATGCCACATGTGCTGCACTCTGGACATTTCAAATATACGGCGAACAACCGACGAACTTGCCTGGCAGCGTTCGTTTCGCTCGCTGCGTCAACAGTGTTTTGACGCCGCGGGCAGCGTCGAAGCCGCCGGGCCATTTTTGTCGCTTGTTTCCAACGTACTCGCTCCATTGAAGCAACCGGCGACAATGAAAAGTATGTTTTAAAACCACGTTCTGCATTTTGGCACTGAATATAAAGTTCTATCTACTATGCCAAGCTTAATCTCAAAGAACAGCCGAGCTTTAGATTAAAACGGTTTTCGCATTGTCATTAGCTGCATGAGCTTCCTCCGTATAACGTTCGGCAAAGGTTGGCTCTCCGTACATGCTCTGCGAAAGTAACAAGAATATATAAAAATTCAAGCAAAAGGAGCCCAAAAGTTGTAGCCCCGCCGGGGACATCTGAGCCATCAAGTTACGCTGTCTGCAATTGTCACAGCCGCTATAGCACCAAACATTCATCCCCAGTAGTTAAACTTCTTTTTCTATTTCTAGCGCGCTGCCACGCCAATGGAGTAATCCCGTTTCCTATGAACTACAAAATTCCTTGCGTTATGGTGTTCTGAAAGGATAGTGCCACCACAATTTTTTTAGATACTCACCTCTAGCGTGGTCACCCGAAAGGTTTTAATACAAAGAGTTCATCCCCGACAGGTAAACAGATACAAAAGCTCTCAAGATCTATATTATGTTATCAGAGTTTAGTAAAAACGATAACTCCACAAAAAACATGAACACTCCCCCCCCCCCCCGCCGTTTTACACCGAGGAACCGCCCCCCCCCCCCCCCCTAAAATGGAGGTCTGGATCCGCCCCTGATCCAGACATTCTGTTATCTACTCTGACTCTCTCAGCGCTTTAAAGGCACTTGCTTCTTTGGAAGTACCAAAAAATACCTTCGCTACTAGGCTCCGGAACATTGTGCACACTGCAGCAAAATCAGAATTACACAACAATTTCTGTTGGGTGCCTAGTCACGTCGGTATTCAGGAAAATGAGGATGCTGATAGAGCTGCCAGTACGTGCATTGAGAGGCAAGTGGATATCAAGGACATTCCGTACACTGATTACAAACACAGTCTTAATAGAGCAATCCAGAAAAAGTGGCAGTTAGAATGGGACACGGAAATACACAACAAGCTTCATTGTGTGAAACCTACCCTGCGGGAATGGGCAAGTTGCCGACACAGGGAGCGCTTCTTTGAGGTTGTGCTCTGTCGTCTGAGACTGGGACACACCCATCTCACGCATGGGTAACTCCTACGGGCAGAGGCAGCTCCGAAATGTGAACACTGTAACGAGTCTTTGCGTGTCCTGCATATTCTTATCGTATGTCCTAAGTACAATCACGAACGCACCACTTTTTTCTCTACCTTTTTCCGGAATCGCGTCCCGTTCCACCCGGCATTATTATTGGGTGACGAACCTCTTGTGCCGCACCGTCAAGTTTTTAAGTTTTTAGATAGCATTGGCATCCTACATCGGCTATGAAATTTAGTTTGTTTTCTTTTCTATTACGTTTACCTGAAGATTAGTGGTGGCAGAAAGCCGGCGATCTTGTATCGTCGGCACATTTTCCATACTTCCTTGCGTAAATGAAATTCCTTTAGAGTGCCTCTGGTTAGTGGAGCATCGGTTAAAATTTCTGGAGGCCTTAATAGGCCTGTATCTTGTAAGGTTTTAATCATTCATATTCCATAGTTTTAAGATGGAACTACGTACTATAGGTCTTTTCAGTATTACTTTTAACTTACCTTGTGTTTGGCACACTATGGCCTTAGTTGCCGCTGTGCCTTTAAACGCCTAATTTTCTTCTTTTTCTTCTTTCGCATTCCAACCCTCCTCATTTGGGCCCGTTCTCGTTTCGCCCTTTTCACCTGGCCCTTTTCAAAACAGCCATTCTCAAAAATATCTCGCTTCGACCCGTCGCACTTGACTTTTTCTATACCAAAATTGTCTTTAGGGTAATATTAATAAATACATTGATACAATTTGTTTGTGTGTGTGTGCATGTGTGTGTGTGTGGGTGCCACGCAGCAGGCATACTCTCTCTGCTAAGGATTTTAGTAGTGCCGTCGAGATCGTCGTGAAAAGCTACTAGCTGACAATAAAACAGACCAACTATTTATCGCAGCCAGATCATATTCCGAAATGTCACGTTGTTTGAGGTCTCTCGACTTGGGACAACACCACCACTTCTATAATGCAGTGGTTCTCAAAAGGGGGTCTGCGAAGGCATCCTAGGGTTCTGTGAAGCCGTGTCTCATCAGTCAGGCACGACAATATTAGATGTCTTTCTTCACGTTGATAAGAAACGTTCCAATTTTCGAGAGAGCACTCTCGTGTGTATGTCAATGAGATAAGTCTACTTCACAGTAGCAATTAGTTATATCCATTTATTAAATCATTATCATGATAACTTATACCTTTCTATTCCCCTCACCCCAAACGGGGTCCTCCATCATATCTGCCTTTCTACAGGGGGTCCGCGAAACGTCAATGGTTGAGAACCACTGCTATTATGCATGCTATATCTGTTCAAACAAAGTTTCCAAATTAAATGTTCATCGCTTTTTTTTCTCTCATTTGCTTGGAAGAAGGGAAGCAGGCGTCAATGCACGATTCTCAGTGCGTGCCTCTAGACATAGCATATCTCTGATGGTATGTTGGGGGCCCAAGCAAGGTAAGGCTCATCAACAAACACGCGAAGGCATAACGACGTTAGAAGCATGCCGAACTAGTGCCATTCGGTCGTAGCGCGAACGGGCGAAATGAGAATGGGTCTAGTTGCGAAAAACACGATTCGGATCTTAAGAGAACGTTCAAACGAGAAGGACCAAATGAGAATGGGTCGAAATGTGCAAGGTTCAAATGCGAATGGGACGTTTTGAGATACACCCTCCTCATCAGGCCTCCATCACCCGGTGTTGCTCTCAATGCCTGGCCGACCGCCGCTGTGTCTCCGCTGCAACCAGCTGGAGCACATGCGGAGGCAGTGCCAGGCTCCTTGGTGCCGCAGGTGTCGTGGATCTGGCCATGTCGAGATTGAGCTCGTGCCGACATACGCGGCCAAAGCCAGGGTCCAAATTAACACGGCCCCCGAAGACGTACTTCTGGACGACGGTGACGAGCCAATGCAGCTTGCCTTCACGGAGCCACTGCCGCCGCTCGACGCCGATCATACGTCGCGGGATTCAGGCGAGCATCCGGAAGTGACGGAAGGAGAGTGCGATGTCAAGGAAGACAACGGAAAAGCGGCACAGATCGACGACGTCGTTCAGCTGACAGACGGGCTGGCGGCATCCGCTGAAGCAACCGGCTCGACGCCGGCATCGAAGTCGGCCGCCTCTTCAGCGGAGTCAGCCGCTCCGTGCAAGTCTCCCCTACCGAGCGGCCCAGGTGCAGCGGAGCAGCCCAAGGTTACCAGGCAAAGTCAACGGCAAAAACCCAAGAAACCGGACAACCCCCCTTATTCGCGACTCCAGCGACCTATAGGGGGCGCCTCCACCAAACAAACATGGCGGCTGAGTCCAGGTCGCGTCGGCTCGGCCGGGCTGCCTGAACAAGCGGCGCATTCAATTTAACAGATGTTCTTTTGTTTAATGCCAAATTTTATAGGTATCTGAACTGAGATGGTTACGTGTAGCCGGTGCACATAAACTTGCAAAGCATAGTTTTGTTTTCCCGTTGTTTTTTGCTCTTTTCATGTCAAACTTTCGTTTCGGAGATTTCGTTCGAAACCGAAACTATGGGCTCCGGAGAGACGGTAATAGACTTTAATCAGTTTTGATCATCTAAGAAAAGCGGCGATGACCAGAGTATTGTTCTACCGAGAGTAATTTTCAGCAAACTCGCATGCCTCGACCATGCGACTTATCTGTCCACGAAATCGAGCTTTTGTGCGGTCAACAACACAGGCTGCAGGAAAATTACGAAAATTGAGCGAGCGCTTCTTGAGCCGAGGAGCATTTTAACCCGCTGGCGCCCCACAACGCAGCTGATACTCTTATTTGAATTCTGGTTTTAGTAGCAGTCGAGAATTCATTTTGACGAGCGGGTTATGTATTATATTACGAACTGTGTCCCACTAAAGCGATATTAGTATATTCTTCGGGTTGAAATATGAGCTTAGTTGACTAGCTATTAGATGAACTGCTGAATACTATTTGGCAGACAGAGAGATACTACTCAAACTCAGCCAAATGGTTGTAGCCAGTAGCACGGAGACGAATGCGGACGAACTGAAGAGAGGCTTCATCGCAGATTCACGCAGAACCTCTCTGGGCATTGAACTTGACCTCGAATCCTGAACGGAGAAAATTAGCATTTTCTGTGGCCGGTCAACTTGAGCGATGTAGACGTGTATTGCTGCTGGCTTCGACGGGGGTATAATATAAATATTGGAGGCGCGATAGATCATAATGCCGTGACAGCTTCTAACTTTGCGAGACGCGTCCCCCACCTTCTGAAAGCAGACAATTTCCCTCATTAATCATATGCAGCGAGCAGGTTTTCCTGAATCAAGTAATTGCGAAATCAGCCCAACTCCTTCAGTGTGGTTCAGAGGCTTTTTCGGCGAAAAGCAGCCAAGATGAATAGCCAACGCACCGACCGGCATGGGTGGCACAAACTTGAGGCTAATCAAACACAACCAAACTCAAGAAAAGCACCTGTCGAACCTTCCCATTCACTTGACTGCAACGTTGGTGTTCCCTCCAGTGAAACACCTCGTCTGTCGTCCTCAGTCCACTGTTCTACATCCTTATAAAGAAACCACTTATCAGTCACCAAGTAGTCGTTACTTTGAATGTGATTCGAGACAGACAAGAAATTGAAACGGTTTTCCGTGAATCCTCCCCATCCAGGAAATCGAAAGCACGCGACCGTCTGTTGTGGAGTAAACGGGCTTTCAAACATGCGATGGAAGGAAAAAAATCTACTAAGGCTTCACCACACTAATGAACACTCATGCAAACTTTCGGACCCTCGTCAAATTACATTGTTCGCCACCGCGCCGACAACACGTGTCCGCGAAAACCACCAGAGACGCGGAGGGGCGCGGAGCTACCTGGACCGGCTGGTTCCCGGTTTTCCCGCTTGGTGGCGTCCGTTTTGCTGGAGTCGCGAACAGTGGGGATCAGCATTTCCCTCATTCTGGTAAGCTCGCCCGTCACATCCCTCAAAGCTGCCCTGTCAAATACCTCTTTTTTTTTTTTAGGGGGGGGGGGGGATGGGGAGGGGGGGGGGTAGAGAGGGAGAAAACGCAAGTACCCTGCAGATGCACTTTTTAGAAAATAATGTGCCATGAACGACGATCAGTGCTATTCTTTGCAGAGTGACGTTGACCAGCTTGTGTCTGGGCTGCCACCTGCTTTTCTGAAATGTATTCATTTAAAAAGGACGTCTGTAAAGAACAAGGCAATTTGTTTGGAAGAATTGTTTACTGAATTTTCATTTAAACTTTCTGCCATTATGTTAACTGAGACTTGGAGCACGAGTGAACATAATGTGCTGAGGTTACCAAACTATACGACTTACTACTTACACCGATCCAATGGACGAGGTGGTAGAACTGCGTTACTGCTCTGCGGCAATGCTGAATGTCAGTTACTTGATTGTTACAGTTTGATTACGCCTGACTATGAAATGCTCTCTTTGTGTTCAAATAAGACAGTGTATTCTGTTTGTTACCGGCCACCTAATGGAGGTATCTAGATATTTTTAAAATTCTACGATCAATTTCTAGCCTTCGTTGGTGAAAACAAAAAGACCTTAATTGCTGGAGGAGATTTCAACATCGACATGAGTAACAATAGCCAATCTGCCAGGAGTTTTAGCACTGCAATAACATCTAATGGTTTTGACAACATGATTAATGTTCCGACTAGAGTCACAGCCGAATGCCAATCCGTCCTTGATCTGTTTATTACAAATTCATTGTAGTCGTACGCTAAGGCTGGAGTTATAACCTGCAGCGTTAGTGACCATCTCCCTGTGTTCCTTTGTGTGGAAAGAACTCAACTAGCAGCTAACAAAGGCCCTAAAATTCTATACCAATCAATTACGGAGAAAGACCTTAATTTTTTTCCGCCTTGCATTGCTGCGGGAGAATCGGAACAGAACAGATACATTCAGTGAGGCGAATGATGCTTACGATAAGTTTATTGACATTTTCAAAAAGCTATATACCGACCACTTCCCTATTAAAAAACGTAAACACAGTCGAAAAATAAAGAAGCCGTGGATTACGCCAGAGCTGCTTAAAGAGATGAAAATTAGAGGCAAGCTATACAGGTGCTTCCTGAACACTCGTGCACCTGATGATTTGAAGACGTTTAACAGTACCGAAATAAATTGACAAAGAAGCTGCGATCTGCGCGGACAGAATACCACTCCTTTGCTTTAAGCGATAAAAGCAATCGCCATGACGTGTTATGGTCCAGACTAAACGAACTATTAAATCGTGGTTCTCCGCATGCTCCTGTCTCGAAACTTCGAGTGAATGGCAGGGAATTGTCTGGAGCCGAAGTAGCTGACGCTTTTAATGATTTCTTCGCAAACCTGACTACACGTGGTAACTCGTCGGCTGCTCTCGAATATGTGAGCATTTGAAATGACAAATCAATGTTTCTGCAACCGGTCACCGTGCCTGAGGTGATATCAGTAATCAAAAGTCTAAATAATAGCAGTAGCTGTGATATTGATGGTCTCCATATACGGCCTGTAAAGCATGTAGCTGATATAATCGCGCCTATCCTCACTGATATATTTAACACCTGTTTAGAGACAGCTGTCTGCTAATCAAAAATTCAAAAAGCAAAGATTACAGTACTTTACAAAAAGGGAGATAGAAATGATCCGGGAAATTATGGGGCAATTTCTATCCTGCCAGTTTTTTCAAAGGTATTTCAAAAACTTTTGCACTTGAGACTTTCGGGATTTATTAATAAGTACTACTTGTTGACGCCACACCAATTCGGCTTTTGTAAAAACAAATCAAGTGAACTAGCATTACTTGAACAAAAAGAATATATGCTCACACAATTTGAAAACAAAGCCATCGTTCTTGGTGTATTTGTGGATTTTTCAAAGGCTTTTGACTTAGTAAATCATGACATTTTGCTTGAAAAGCTTAATTGCTACGGTTTCCGAGGACGGGTTTTATTGCTTCTAAACTCTTATCTCTCTAATCGAAAACAGGTTGTCCTGATTAACAATATACGCTCAAAGGCGCAACCAGTGCTTTGTGGTGCGCCACAGGGCAGCATATTAGGGCCACTACTCTTCAAAGTTTATCTTAATGATATTGTAGATATTAGCCACACAGCCAAATTTATAGTATATGCGGATGACACTAGCATATTTTTTTCTGGCCATGACATTCATGAACTTATAGATCGATGTAATAATACAATGAAAGCACTCGAGAACTGGTCGGCAGCTAATGCTGTGCAAGTAAATGAAAGAAAAAGCAAAGGCGGTTATATTCAGACACAAAAACAAGCCGGTTCCTACACATCCAGAAATATTCCTTAATTCACGTCGTATAGAAGAGGTAGATAATTTCAGATGGTCTCGGTGTCATATTTTCCGCCGACATACTATGGGACGCTCATGTAAACTACTTGCTCACAAAAATAGCGCAAATTACTGGCATAATTGGACGCATTCGATACCTTCCCGCACAAGTTAAGTTGCTTCTTTATAATTCACTGTTTTACTCACACTTAAACTATTGTCAACTAGTTTGGGGGACAACTACATCTTCAAACCTACAGCGTATTCATTTATTACAGAAGAAATATTCTTGTTCGCCACATCTATAACGCCCCTTATGGAACACCAAGTTCAATTTTCTTTCGTCGTTCTCGCGGTGTCAGGGCACACAATCTATACAGATATCGTTTGAGTGCTCGCTATAAATCAGAAACACAGAGAAATATAAGTAATATACGCAATCTTTCCCAATTGCAAATAAAAACAGTTACTCTACAACAGTCAAAGAGAGCTGGGTTGTCCCTACAACTCGACTGAACTCCGGAAAACAATGTCTCCGTTACCTTTTACCATCCCTTTTAAACAACTATCACCATGTTCATTTTGATCTGTACACTTGCAGATATAGTGGACTTCGCGCAATGTACGAAGCACAAAAATACACATATGTATGTCTGTGTGTATATGTGTATATATATGTGCGTCTATGTGTATGTATGTATTGTATGTACGTATGTATAATATATATGTGTGTTTGTATGTATGTGTATGTGTGCATGTGTGTGTATGTATATGTATGTGTATATATATATATATATATATATATATATATATATATATATATATATATATATATATATATATATATATATATATATATATATATATATACATTTATATAC